TCCCATTGTCCTGCTGTAGTCACTCCAACAAGTTCTGAGAGCAGCATGCCCCTTTCTCAGCTAACAGAACAACATAACTGTTGTGCCTTTCAGTGTATATTAAGATGGTAAAGTATTAAACTTATGAAAAACTTGTTTTCCTCTATAGTTCTCTGGTCTATGGCCTTTGTCTTAGGTGCTTTGCTTGTGATTTACACTACAACCCAGTCTCTTACTTTCCTAAGTGCAAAATGTGGAAGGTAGGAGTTAATGTATCATTGAAAAAAAAAAGAAAAAGGCAATCTTAGACCACTACTGCCATACGAGTCAGTACTTAAAAACACATCAGACTTGTGAATTAAAAACATACCTTTTTTTTTTTCCTCCTTAAATGTAGAACATTCCCACAAGAGACCGGCAGGAGGGGATGGCTGCCTTCAGGGAGAAACGACCACCTCGGTTTATTGGCAAGTAACTCTTCCTAGCTTCCCCTTGAGCCTTTAAAAGTAAAGGAGGACTGAAGAGGACCCACCAGTTTCTTAGGATTAGTTTTATGATTGCATTATGTACTTGGCTCCTTGCCTTGGACTGTATTTTTGAATACTCCACTGGATCACTTTGCTGTAAGAATTCTCAAATAAAGACTTCACTTTGTACAGCTGACCTTTTTAAAGTGCACACAACTTAAGGCAGGGGTAAGGGCTCTCAAATGGCTGTGGAGCTTTGGCTCACTGTAAGCAAGTTGAAAAAAAAGGCAGAAAACATGGAAACAGTGACAGGAAAAAGAAAATCACTCTGAAGAGAAAGTTAACTTACAAAGAAAAAATAGTTGCTTCCCACTGTCAATCAGTGCTCTTCTAACTAATCAGATAGAACAAGCTGTATTAAAGCAGAGCAATGGTGGTTTATCCCAGATCTGTTGTGAATAGTGCAAAACACTGGGCTAACACTCCATCAAGCTGAATTTGGGTCTCCTTGGTATCAACTTGAGAAAATACATGGCCTGTATGTGTATGTATCTATATGGGCACCAAATCACTCTATGCCAGGCATCACAGGCATGTCACCACTCTCCCATCACCTAGTTTCCTCTGTTGTCTGATGAAGTTGAAGTTATTTTCTCCTTCTGCATAGAGATTCTCCAGCACTGAGACAAGCCACACAGTTCAACTCTACAGCTTCTCACTTCCTTAGACTGGAGCTTTCAAGCAAGAGTGAATTGGTATAGTTAGAGAAATGTATTTTCAGTAAATACATCATAGGTTATCAAAAATACACTTGTAAAAAGTGGCTTACCACGTTGGAACCGAGTGTCGCTTCATGGAATGTGGTTTACTTTGAGACTATCAATTTCCCTTGTGCCTAAAGTTAACCCAACAATTCTGGGGGTGAGGTAGCCTTACCAGATTATACATACACAAGTGTCCCATGTAAAGATCTGCAAAGGTAAAGCAGAGTCAGGATCTTCAGCCTTCCAAAAAAGATGTCAAATGCCACAGGTGTAAGAGTTTAAAAGTTGCTTCCAGAATTACTCTACCCTGGCAGGAACTCCTGAAGGCTGCACAGGAATGTGAAAAGAGCTTTCTGTAACTGCAAGTCAATTTAGTGGGTTTATACATACTTTTCAGCTTAAAAGAATTCTGCTCACTGCTTTGAAGTATGTGGGGACAAAACAAGAAGGGGATGGAAAATTATTTACAATCTCTGTGCTTGCTGGTTGCAGAACTTCATGAAGTGGCAGCTTCACCATCTGACTGATGCTGTATCACATTCATAATGAGCTGCATCTAGTAGAAGACTTCTCTCCACACAGAGAGGTTTAGTTAAGGTGTTTCAGCAAGTTCTCCTGTTACTAGAAGAAAACAATACTGTAAGGAGAGTTGTCATCTTTATTTTAAAATCTTGTAGCAATTGATTTATTTTCATTCTATTAACACCAATTTTGACAAGTTTTGTGTTCCATTTCATGTAAGTCCTATAGCAGACATCCCAGAAAGGTGGTAGGTAATGCTTTCAGGCCAGTTTTCATTTTTTAAACCACCACCATCATTCAAAGCTACAACAAATTTGATTATTTTTTTTTTCAAATCAGGAAAATTGTATATAACCAGATACACACATGAAAATTATGCAGGCCAAATTATACTTTCATACAAAAAGCAGTTCCACAACATTGATTAAATTACTGGATCAGTACCTTTTGAAGTTTCTGAAATACACAATAACTAGATTATTGAAGATTAGAGGTGATGTTTTTATTTGAAGGATGAGGGTTGGGAGGAGGAAGGAGTTAAAAATAGTAAAATATGGTCATCATGAAGCAGCCATCCCTGCAAATAAGCTACCAAACGTTTTCTTTTTTGATTCATTACTAATGTATTTACAGAAGAGTCTCTGAATATCAGTCAGTTGCCATGGAAATATGGAGACTAACCAGATAAACAAAAACAATACCTGAAATTAAACTGAATTTGAATGGACATGCAGTTTGCTTCCATCGCTTGCATTTTATCAGGCATCGGTATGCTGTGCAATATGTTTCATTCAATACATCATTGAAACCCGTAGAAAGAAAGAAGTTGTTACAATTAGCGTCTTCGTGTAAAATTACACACTCCACAAAATGCAATTGACACAGGGCTTACATAGAACATTGGGTGATATTTCGCACTGTGATGATTTGGAAATATAATTCACTGCACAATACTGACAGAATATTTACAGAGAACAACAGAGCAATCATTAGTCTTATAAATAAGGTGACCAAATATCCTGGGCCTCTTATCAAGACATGCAATCCCCTTCATGATGAAGACAAGTCAGTATTTTG